AGTTTTACTTTTCAACTCTCAGCAAAACACACTCACGGCTGGACGCAATTAGTAAGTAATTTAGTGTATTTTGTTTCACCGTTAAAGAATGTTTACATTGCATATACATATATCGAAATTAATGACTAAAGGAAGAAGAAGGCATATACATATATCGAAATTATTGACTGGAGGAAGAAGAAAATTATACGAATATATGAATATTACGGTTATGTAGAATTTTTTTTTTGTATATGGGGCTCAGCGATAAGTTTGCCTTATCGCCGAGCCCCATATGCAAAAAAAAATTCTACATAACCGTAATATTCAAATATATATAAAAACATAAATCAGAATTAAACAGAAATTAACTAAGATAATGAAGAAATTCAAAAGAGCAAATAACAAATAATTAAGAAGTGTTGAACTGCTTACAGCCGCTAAAAAGTTTAAGAATCTCTCAAACAAAAACTTTCGAATAAAAAAAGAACAATATAAATTCTATAATTAACATAATCACAAGATGAATTTTTAATAACATCACTTAAATTTTATTGATATAAATAAACTTGTTTTTATTTAATAAAGTTTATTTCAAAAGAAACATTTAAAGTCTGATAAATTAAGTTCCCTGAACAGAAATGATCTTTTTGATTCACTTTTTAATTGTTCTAATGTCTTCTTTTTGTTGACAATCTCTGGGAAATTTTTCCACAGATAAAGTCCACGGTATTTTATTAAATACAAGGTTAGTTTTGAATTATACTTGAGAAGAACAAAGTTATAATTAGAAAACTTTGTTGAATATTAAGATTAATTTTATTAAAATAAGTTTGAAAAAATTTGGGTGACGGTTCCATTTTAGCTTCAAACATAAGTAATAAAACTTGGTGTAAATTGAGTTTCTACACATTTAAAGCACCAAGTGCATGTAAAAGTTATTCGCAAGGAGTATTTCTGTAGGCTCCAAACACTATTAAGCATGCATGTATTTGTTTGTTTTAGATTTTCTAAAGTTTGTATAGCCAGTAATAACCCACACAATATTACATTAAGATAAATAACTGTGAACAAAACCAAAATACAATTTTTTCAGGGATGCTACATTTAGAAAAGGTTTAGCCTTAGACATCATTGCGATATTTTTTGAGTGTGTTGTTTCAATACTATTTATATGTGAATACCACAGTAAATTTTTATCCAGTTTTACTCATACATACGTAAACTAAAAAGTTTACGTATGTTTTCTTTTTAAAATAAGTATTGTTAATTATAAAATTTGGTAGTTTTAGAGGAATGTTTTTGTAATTTATTTACCTTATGGAAAAGTATATAATTTGTTTTATTCACATTTAATGAAAGTTTGTTACTTACGAACCATTCATTAACTTTACGCAACTATTCATCAGCTATTTTAAAGCGTGTTTTAATTTGCTGATGATTCTAATCTTTTTTGTTCTCGCTGAGAACAAAAAAGATTAGAATCATCAGCAAACAAAATTAGGTCTAAAAGATTTGTTGCTAAGTATAAGTCATTTATGCACAATAGATAAAAAAGTGGTACTAAAATAGAGCCCTGAGGCACCCCATAAGTTATGGAAAATGGAACTGTATTATTTTGATCATAACATAAAAATTGCTTTCGATTGTCAGACTCTTTGAACCAAAAAAAGTTTTTATTTTTTACTCCGTAGTTTTCAAATTTTTTTATTGGTATATTGTGATTTACAGTATCAAAAGCTTTTGACAGATCAATGAAAACTCCTAATGTAAAACAGTCATTATCAAAGGTGTTAAATAAAGAAGATTTAATAATATCAAACACTGATTTGACAACATCAATACTAATTTTATCAAAACCTTCACTTTATTTACTTTTAAAACTGTTAAATCCAGCTCTCAGCTTGCTAAGTTTTAAGCTAGTTTCGTTCGTAAGTTTATCATAAGTTTTTAAATATGAACCAAAAGGAGTGGAGTTAGGTGGAGTTTTTTCAGTCAATTTTGGCCCAATATTAACAAAGTAGTTGTTTAGTTCTTCAGCTATAACAGAATTATCATTAACTAATTTTCCATATATTAAAAGATTTTTTGGCAGATTATTTTTTTAAATTATTTTTTTCAATTAAATCCTTAATTACATTTCATACTTTTTTAGTGTTTCCGTTGGTTTTTTTTAATAACTGAACATAATAAAGCTTTTTCGAGTATCTTGGTTTTTTGGAATACATTATTACAATTTTTATAAGTTATTTCATCTTTATAAGACTTTTTTTTAAGATACTTTATATATAGTTTTTCTTTCATTTTTGAAGATTTTTATAAGCTTTTTGACATCGAGAGGCTTTGAACTGATTTGGTATTTATGACTATTTCTTTTTTTAGAAGCAATTTTAAAAAAGTATTAGTTATAATGTTATCAAGTAGAATCATAACTATTAGTTATGATGTTATCAAGTAGAGTAAAAGACTTTTTTGTAACTTTTGTTGATTCGTTTATTGTTGGAATAAAGTTATTTTCTAAAAAAGTATTAATAAAATTCTTAGCATTATTATTAGAAGACTAACCCTAACCCTGACTATGACCATGGCCTACTATATTTACACGGCCTAAAAGCAATATATATTGCTTTTTAGAGTAAAAAATTAGGAGGGTAACTTTCCGACTTTCTTAGACGTTTTATAAAATTGTTTATTTAAATATTCATAATATAATAAATACATGTACTGATGTTTACTGTAAAACTGAATATAAAAAGGGAAAGAATCAGCTGGATTTTATTCCTGAAAAGCATCTAATTTTTGGATTTCCAGAAAATAATCCTTACCTATTTAAACAGTGGGTAGTACTTCTAATAAATACTAATTTATCAATCGAAAGTTATGTTAATTCATCAATCAAAAATTAAACCCGAGTAAAAAATTAGCTATTTGTGCTAAACATTTTAAAGAAAAACATTTGAAAATTAACAAACGAGTAACATTAGTTTGGGACTTACATCTAGTTCCAATTATTTATTGCTTAATTAAAAAAATACCATCATCATTATATACAACTACATCAAAAGGTAGATAGCTACCTTTGTCCGTCATCCATAAAAATTAAACAAGAAAAAATCCAGTATAATTATATAAAATAATGAAATTCTCTGTTTAAATGATTTAAATAATTGTAACCTTGAAGTGTATCATCTCAAACCATATATAATGACAAACAGATATTTTTTAAGTTAGAAATTAACAAACATTTAGGTATTTTAGAAGTTACGCATTGTAGTTGATGAATTTATGCCTGTTTCATTGTTCTCAAATTTTCTTATGTTTTAATGCCTCCATGGTTTCAAAATATTGGCTGTGCATTGCAAAAAAGAAATGTAAACTGGAGAATTTTCCAGCCTATATAAGAAGTTTTGTCAATCAATTTAATAACTGAACTCAAAAAAAAAACATGCCAAAAACCAGTTGATCAGCCAAAGTTTTCATGAAATCTTTTATGATTTTCTCTTATTCTTAAATGTATATCAGTCCTGATGTAATGACTTTTATGATTGTCCTTATTCTTAAATACATACAAAACAAATTACTAAAATCTATATGTTTTGTATTCCTTGCTTTTCATTTTGATCAGTTTTTTATAAATGCTAGTAAAATATTTTTAAAGTTACTTCGTAATGTATATGATAAAGACTAATTACTTCAGTCAAATTTAAAAAATTGTTTTAAGTTATCTTATAAATAACTTCATCCTGGAAATAATAAACAAAGTTAACCTCTAGCTCTTCAAAAATTGTTCCCACAGCTTTAGTTGCTATTAAAAGTTATTTTCCAGATAGTACTGATTCCTCTAGCTTTTTAAAGCTGATGAATATTTGGTGGACAATAAGTAATAGTAAGCAAATATATAACAATAATATTTGTATTGAAAAAAATGCAGCTGTTTTGGGTAAAATGAGACTTTAATTGTTGAGGAATTTAGTCGAATGGATTGAAGATTTGCATTCATCCCAAGTTTCAAACTCTCAAAATTTTACATTTTCAAGTTTATTAGCTGAATTTATATTTTTAAAACTTATTAGCTGCATCTTGTGACGTAGAATGCAGTAATTTAGAAAATATTTATTGTGGAGAAGTGATTTTTGCTTATAAGATTCAACATTTTGGATCAATATGCTGCAGAACAGGTGCTTAGATTAAATGATTGTGCTACTTTATTCTTAAGCAATTATCATCTTATGAGATGATCTTAAATCATGTTCATCAAGTTATTGGTATATAATTTGTAAATCACATTATAACAAATATCTATTTTAACAATGAACAGAAACAATTTTCAGATGAAATTCGAAAGTAGAGTGTAAAGGATTTTAAACGCAGACAAAGAAATATATTAAAACTGAATTAGTTGAAATATTTAATCCAGCTAAACTAAAATGAAGTAATCAATGCCAAATTATACAAATGAATCATTATACCTTTAATTTATATTCTTCCTTTATTGTTAGGCTTTTGTTTATCTTTTTATATATCTTGGTAACATTATTAAAAAAAGATGAGTTTCAAGTTTATTATAGTCATTAATAATTTTATTATTATATTGTTTATTAAAGTTATTACATTTTTTTTAGATGATTAAAGTACAATACTATTATTTCAAATAATATTCTCTTATTTCAGCGGTATATGTTATTTATAGAAATCATATCAACAAGCAACGGAAAGTGTCCAATTTATAAGACTTGTCAAATTATATTTGTCAAACAAATTTTTTACTTTATACACCCTACTTCCGTACACAAAAACCCGGCTAAAAATTATAGTTTTTATTGAGTTAAGTGCGGCCAATCATGTTATACGATATATTTATGTTGTGAAAAGTTACCCCTTAAATTTTTCGCTCCGAAAAGCAAAATATTTGACCATGTAGTTATAGTATTCGGCAAAATATTCGGCCATGGTTATTTCTACTTTTTATTTTTATTTTTTATTTACTTTAAATCACTTTTTTATTTAAGATATTTTCTTACCATTTCAACTGCAAGAAAGGCTTTTATTACTTCCAAGTTTCTCTCATGTAACATAATTTCATGGTTTTGTGCATCCACTTTTGAAATAAGTTCATTTTTAAGTTCATCCACAGTGAACGTAATTTTATTTTTAAGTGAAACCACTTCTGACGCATTTCTGTTTTCAAATGATTCTACTTTCAAGGTTATTTTCTTTTCAAGTGCAATTGAATCCGACGCAACTTTGGTTTCAAGTGATTCCATTTTTGACGTAATTTTATTTTCAAGTGCAATCGATTCCGACGCAACTTTGTTTTCAAGTGATTCCATTTTTGACGTAATTTTATTTTCAAGTGCATTCAATTTTGACACAATTTTATTTTCAAGTGTATCCATTGTTAAAGTAAGTTTGTTTTCAATAGCGTCCAATTTTGATATCGCCATAGAAAGATGGTTTTGCATTGAAGAATTGGCGTGTATTTCATGTTCTTTTCTCATTCCCTTATTAATATAACAAATATCTCAATTATTTTAATATAAACTAAAATAGAATTAAAAGTTTCTTACTCAGGTAGATTATATGATATATGCTTAGTAAGATTATTATTTTTTTTAATATAAAACTTAATTTCAAGTTGATTTTTACAATATTTAAATTAGTTTTAGTTACACTAAAACTAACTTCTCACATTTATAAGTGTGTGAACTGTCTAAAAAGTTAAGCACAATTAACTTTTTAGATAGTACACACACACATATAAATGTCATAAATAAAAATAAAAATTTTTTCCTGAAAAAAAAGTTTCATGAATATTTACAATTGTTTCAATTAAAAAAATAAATATGTTTGATAATACAATTTTAGCTAACGATATTAGTCAGTACAAAATTTTAAAAACGACTAATTTTTCAAACGCAGTTATTACCATAGCAATTTTTGATATGTATTTTGAACAACTTAAGACTTTTTTTGGACATGGTCTCACTGTTTAGAGTGTTACAGAATGAAATGGCTCTATGAATCATTATGTATGGAGTCTTAAGGAGTTAGAATGAGTTTTTGGCTACATCGGACCCAGCTGGCTCAGGCGTCTTAACTAGGTCGTGTTGCGCGCGAACGCGCATGTGTTTAAACCTTTACGGTTCTTCTCTATTATATATTTGTAAATATATATATTTACAAATATATAATATATATGTTTACAAATGTTTATATATTTGTAAACATATATATTTGTCCAGATAGGACACTTTCACACATTTGCAAACTCTAAACTAAAGTATGTTTATAGGATAGACCGAGGCAATTTCGCCACTTTTTTCATTGTTTTTTGTTCAACCTGATACGCTTTTTTTTACCATTAACTAAATTATATTGAATAAACTATGTTTAGTTCGACTACGTTTGAAAACTAAAAAAAAAAAAATTTCACTCATTATCATCGGTTTATGTAACACACTTTTATGGGGCAATTTTGCCTTTTATGGGGCGATTTCGCCAATGTAAATAGATTTAAAGCTTTATTAATTTTGTCAAATTAAGCACATTCTGTCAACATGTCGATACAAAAGCAGACTTCACATGCCCATATATGACAAGAAACGCATTGGAGCTAGTCTTCTGATGAATTCATCCGCGCCACACCAAATACAAAGCAGTGAGTTGGTTTTTGCTGTTCCTGCTATAAGCTTTTTACGCACTTGAATAATGATTTTAAACTAGAGCATTTTCTCTTCTTTGAGCCATATACTATTACTTGATTAGACAAAAATTTCTTTTTCTTTCTTAACCCTTTTATTTTTTTTCTTTGAGAACATCTTTATTTTATACTTCATTCTTTATGATATAATTATTCTTTCATAGCCAATTGGAGGTTGGTATTACTATAGGGTTTTTTTTCTTCGGGAGATGCTTGCGTATATCTGAAAAATAGTTAATATAAAGCGAGTTTAAGATTTTGGCATCTAGGGTATAAATGCAACAAGATAATTTTTACCGATTGGCATAATAACTATCTTTTTAAATATATCGATGCTTGGATTTTATAGTGGTGTATTTAAACATGCTAATCGATATAGTGGCTATACACATTCAGCGATGGTGAGCATTAAATGATAAGAAATTCGAATATAAGAAACGCATTCAATTAGAACAAATTACATTTTTAAATACAAAATTATAGGAAAGTTTTAGAAAACTATTTATTAAATGTATATCTAAAAACTATTGATTTATTATATCTTCAAAATCATTTTAATAAATTTATCATTAATTTTTTGATAAATAATTTATCATTACTTTAATTCTTGATATAAGTCCAATGATTTTTTAAAGTTGTTTATATAATAATAAATGTTATTATTAAATAATGTTTAGAAAGCAAAAATATTGTAGATTATATATTTTTTTTAACTGAGTGACCATTTTATCATGTTGTGGCGAAATCACCCCACAATAATCTACTTGGACAAAAACCTATTTAAAATATATACCACTAACTCCAGATAAATAGTTCTAACAAATATATGAAGCTCTCATATTAGTAGTTATTCGCAAATGTATGTAATCAATTTCACAAAATTATTAATAATGCCACTTAAAGCAGGAGTTACACAATAATAACAACTAATAACAATAAACAGCAAATCTTATTTAAATATTACAACAATCAATAAAATTCGGTGGCAAACTATGATCAATCAATAGTTATAAGCAGCATTGTGGATTCGGGGTCGGAGTTGCGGAGTTGCGATATGTTCAGTAGAGTTGGAGTCGGAGTCGGAATTACTAAACAAAATCACAACTCCGACTCTAATAGTAAAATCTCTCGGTATTGGACATGCATGTACAAAACATTCAATTGACCTTATGTTCATATTAAACCTCAACGACCGCTTCATATATTTGCTTAAAAATAAAATTAAATTTATCGCCTAATATTTTTTAAAGAATTCAAAGAATTTTTCAAAAATTTTGCTTTGGAGTTGGAGTCGGAGTTTAAGTCAGAGTCGGAGTTCAACTCTAAAAATTTCGTCAACTGGAGTCGGAGTTAGAGTCAGAGTCTTTTTTTTTTGACGATTCCTCACCCATTATAAGGCTATAATTAAAAAAAAAAAAATTTTACATCATTTAAATATGGTGTTATGCCAAAATAATATCTTTTTATTGAAATATAAAAAGTGGCGAAATCGTCCTCGTGGCGATATCGCTCCGGCCTACCCTACCAATGCAAAATAAGGAGGCCTTGCAAAAAATTAAGAAGGTTGAGGCCTGTGAGCAAAAAAGCTAAATAACGCACCCCCCATCCCTCCCAGAATAAAAGAAGAGAGGGGCGTAAATTTTGTATGGTCATAACTTTTGTAATTTACAATATTTTTTTGCGAAATTTAAAATCTTTCGATAAACTTAATTTTAGTTTTAGATGGTTAAGTTGAAACTTTACTACCCTAGTCCCCTTACGCTTGGGCAGGCGGGGGAAGGGAGTGTAAACGTTTTAAGACTGTTTTTGTTCCGAGGTCTCCGCCATCCCAATTTTTTGCAAGGTCTCCTCATTTGACATTTATTCCTAAGGTTTGGTGCTTGCACAAATTTCACACATTTGACATACGCATACTTATATTTGGAGCTTGCGCAAGCTCCAAACATAAGTATACCCCAAAAGTTATGCCAATTGTGTTAAAGTGTCCTATCTAGAACACCAAAAAATCCTGTGGTCGCCCATGCACACATGGTAACCATTATATGCTGTGCCTGGGCAAGGCGTTTATCAGGCAAACTATTTTTGTAGTCGATAAAAACAGGTTTTAGCAGTGCCGTGGCTAATAGGTTGGAGACCCCCCAATAAACATGTCATTTAAGTCTCAAAATTTCCCAAATTTTACCGCTAGGTTTTGCTAAAATAAAAAGCTCCTTAAATTAGCAAAAAGGCACAAAATTTAAAAAAATTTGGCGTACGCACTTTATGGTCGACCTTTTAGGAGTTTAACCAACCGCACTTTGGGAAACGAGTATCACTTGTAGTTATAAATTATCTTAATCACTTGTATTATAAAATATATTAATATTAATATATTAATATATTCATATATATATATATATATATATATATATATATATATATATATATATATATATATATATATATATATATATATATATATATATATATACATATATATATATATATATATATATATATATATATATATATATATATATATATATATATATATATATATATATATATATATATATATATATATATATATATATATATATATATATATATATATATATATATATATATATATATATATATATATATATATATATATATATATATATATATATATATATATATTAATATATTATTATATTAATATATTAATATAATAATATATTAATATATTAAAATATTTATCACTTGTATTATAAAATAAAATATTACTTAATACGAGACTCTTCACTTTAAATAAAAAAATGAATATAACGTATCTGAGCAGATAGAACATGTAGCCCACAGATAAAAATTAAACTAACTGTCGATGAAAAAAAATTCAAAAGATAAAGAAAGGATCTTAAACTAAAAGGATAAGTTACATTACTTTTATTTATACTTGTATTTTTAAATGTTAAAGAATGCAATTGTGAGTTTAAGTTAATTAGTGAACATTGACATACTCTAGGAGCCATTATTATAAGCATATTTGATTTTTATTAACGAACTTAAACAATTTGTTTACATAATATATATTCAACGTAAAAGCATTTAGACATTTCATCATAATAATTTCGACGTCATTTGATTTATCATTACATTATTTTTGAGTATATTTGTCTGTGATTATTTATTATTCAAAAAAGCTCTAGTCAGTTCAGATGCTAGAATATTTTTTATTATCAAATTATGGTTTGCTCATTTAATCTTTTTTTTTTTTTTTTTTTTTTATTATTTTTTTTTTATTTTTTTTTTTATTTTTTTTTTTTTAGTATTGTATTTGCCGATTGAAAATAATTTACACTCGTAATTTATAAAAACAAATATTTACATGACTGGGGCTTGAAGAAGACAAAATTCATCTTATCATTAAGCCCCCCCCCCAAAAAAAAAAATGCATATTCATCAAATAAAATATTTTAACAAAATGTAAAAAATAAAATATATAACGTTTAAAATATTTAGTAATTCAAAGAGTATTTATATTTAAGAACTGATTAGTAAAATAAGATGATATATAAGTATTAATATTACAAAAAGAATTTACAATAACTTTTTTTAATAAAAATTGAAATTATAAAATTTTACAATATTTTTAGTAATTAGTATTTCAAATAATAAAACTTAAAAAATCGTTTCTAAATTCAAAATTTATAAGATAAGAAATACATTTACAATAGCAGACTATTGTTTAGAATATTAAATATAATATTAAAGAGTAATTAGTAGGTTAATTTTTGTTTTTGTTTGCTAGTTTAAAAAGCTTTTTAGAAGAACTTTAAT